ACTCCTGGGCTCAAGCGAGTCTCCTGCTTCCGCCTCCCAAGTAGCTGGGACCACAGGCGCCCGCCACAACGCCCGGCTATTTTTTGGTTGCAGCCATCATTGTTGTCTGGTGGGTCCGGGCTGGGGATTCGAACCCGCCACCTTAGGTGCATGTGGCTGGCGCCTTAGCCGGTTGAGCTATAGGCGCCGAGCCGAAGTCTGTTAATACTTGACAGCAGTTATTTTGATGACAACACCTTTGAGGTGGGTCCTGTACTGGTTAAGTGCTTGGGCTCTGATCTGGGTCAGATTCAGTCTCGAAGGAAATTCAGTCACTAGCCTAGTTGTGTGGTCTCAGGCAAATTGTTTCACTGTCCTTTGCCTCTATGTCCCCAACTTTAAACCAAAGATGATTATAGCACCTGACCCACTGGGTTGTAGCAAGATATTGGTGATAGAATCTACCTAGAGTGCCTGGCTCCATGCCTGTATGGGGGGAGAACTTGATAAATAATAGCTGTTAGAATAATTAAGAAATACCTAAAAGAATTCAGGAATTGTGCCCTAGGGTAATAGAATAGACATTCTCAGGGGGCATTCTGCACCTTGAGAGGAGGAGGGCACAGATCATATCACACAGCAGAGCCCCTCCCTGATGCGTGCCACATTTACTTGGGGAGAATTGTTACTACCATGCAAAGAGTAGGCATCAGAATGGCGGCTGGTTCTCATGTAGCCAGAGAGAAGTAGCCATGCAGAAAGGCTGTCATAGGAGGATTAGAAGGGAAAGGCCGAGGCTACGGTGCAGGGGCTTGCCGGGGGCTTCCCAGGTCACACCTACATCTTCTTGGAGATCGATAATTTGGGATGATGTGTGTTCACTGTGTGTGGTGACGGATTTCCAGGAGGCACAACTCTTTTCCTCTTCTTCCCTTTTTTCTTCTTTTCTCTCTTCCTGCTTCCAAACCTGGGTATTTATGGAAAGCCCTGAGCGCCAGTCCTAGGGCCTGCTTGGTTGGGCTCTGAAAAAGAAATTTCATCTGTGGGACTTCTGCTCTACGCCAGGCACTCTCCATCTCCGGTCACACTGGGTCCTGTATAGCGGGTGGGATCACCATCAACTGACAGATGAGGGAGCTGAGCGGCAGAGAAGGTAGGAAGCCACCTAAGGCCCCCACAGCTGCTATGCGGTGGAGTGAGCGCGTGAATCCCATCTGTCTTACTCTAAAATCTGTCTTCTGCCAACCTTCAGGGACATAGTTCTTTACCATACTTCGCTTTCATGTGGCTTTTTGTGACATTTCCATGGCACAGCGCCCTACACATGGGCCTCCTATTTGTGGATTTAAAATTTTAACAATGGTGAAAAGAGCTGACATTGGCCGAGTTCTTGTCACCAGTGGGCACACAAGCAGGCTGAGTCACTTGCTCAAGTTCTTTTGAGCTCAAAGCTCAGGAGTCTGCCACAAGCCAAGGACGTGCGGTATTAATTCCCATTCTCCTTGGAGAATCTGGGCTAGAGGCAGGGATGCTGATCTTAGAGCATATCTTTCTAAGGTGACATGTGAGGCTTTTGCTGTTTTAAACTGGTCAGAAGGGGAATAGCAGAGGATGCAGGCGGGGGTTTGGGTAGGGTGGGGCTGCAGGCTGGTGGCATCTATTTCTGAACTCCTCGACCTCCTGCCTCTGAGCACGAAGCTATAAATAAGCCCTGTGATCCACCAGCTGGACTTGACCCCGTGCTTTTCCACCTGTGGGCCTGCACTCATAGAACTATCCTGCCTCGCCTCCTTCCCCTTGCCATGCCTGGGTGGAGATATCCATTGCAGCTGCTGCCTCTTCTAGGAAGCCTCGATGGCCTGGCATGGATAACCTATGCCTTCCTGAGTCCAGATCAAATCATGTATTATATACTCAGAAAAAGGCAAATGAAAGATTATACTTATTTTGAGAAATTTGTGAACATTTCTCTCAAGACCTGATAGGGAACAAACAATACATGTTAATGACACTCTCGGTATGTGAAATTCCAGGGGCCAGGGACCCTCTGATGATTGATTCCATTTCTTTTTTTTTTTTTTTTTTTTGAGACAGAGCCTCAAGCTGTCCCCCTGGGTAGAGTGCCGTGGCATCACAGCTCACAGCAACCTCCAATTCCTGGGCTCAAGTGAGTCTCCTGCCTCAGCCTCCCAAGTAGCTGGGACTACAGGCACCCGCCACAGCGCCCGGCCATTTTTTGGTTGCAGCCGTCATTGTTGTTTGGCGGGTCTGGGCTGGATTCGAACCCGCCACCTTAGGTGTATGTGGCTGGCGCCTTAGCCGGTTAAGCTATAGGCGCTGAGCTGATTGATTCCATTTCTACACAACAGATTTTATTCTACCTTAAGCGCATGTGAAACGGGCTTGTTCTCCGTCGCATCGGGGAGCAGAGTCTGGTGTGGGATAGCCTGGGCTGGAATGCTGCTGACCTGGGGTAAGTCACCTCCCGAACTCAAGCCCTGCTCCTTTCTCTGTGAAAGAGAGATACTTGTACCTATGTTGTTAGGTGGTCGAGGGACATGAAGGGGTCATAATACTTGCTACCATTCATCGAGTGCTAACTCTGTGCAAAGCTTGGCTTTGCATTCTTATTTGATCCTCCCAAGAGCTCTCCTTATTCCTGATGTCCCTACCCTGCAAAATCTTTTTCTCCATGCTTATTTACCATTATCTACTATATTATATATTTTACTCATTATGCTTATTTTTTTGTCTTCCTCTCCCAGGGGGCGCCATTCACAATGCATGCTGCTCTGGGGGTCCTTTTACTGAGAATATTGGCATGAATGGTGTTGTGTGATCTGGAGCTGGGGCTCCAGAAGGGCAGGGATTTTCCCCCCCCTGTTTTGATCATTTCCATGTCCCTGTGGTCAGAACAGTGCCAGAACTATAGTAAGCTATCAGTAAATATCTGTTGAAAAAAATGAATGAAAGATACCCCCCAAAGAACCCATTTTATTGGTAAGGAAACTGAGATTCAATGAGTTATGAATTTGCCCAAAGCCCACAAGCCACTGCTCCGGCTGTGTCTGCCTCTTTGCTAAGCCACATGCCTGAAACTCCTGGTATTGTCTCTGCCACCAAGTAATTGCTCAGAGCATGTTAATCCCCCTCTCTACATGGGTCAGGCCTTCTGCTGGACTCTCCAGAGTGACTGACTGTCATACAGCTACTGATTTGAGAGACTGAATTAAATTGCACAGTGGAAAAAAAAGGAGGAGGGATCTTTAGCTTTTGGAAGAAAAAATCCCTAACCCCCCAGTTAATGGTTGGAGTTTGCAGGAGTCCCTCAGGCCTTCCCAACCCAATTCTTTTTCCTGTTGCCTTCCCTTTTGTGAGTGTTTCTTCCCCTTTTTGCTTGCAGTGAGTTCTGCTCTCCTGTAGGCTACAATGTGTCAGTTGTTATAAAATCCGGGAGGCGGAGTCTAGTGACGAGGACGAGGGCGGTAGGGGAGAGCTGAGCCGGCCCTGCAGGGCTAGCAGTCCAGCCTGGGTTCACTGGAGCTTAAGCATTACGGCAGGAAAACTTCCATCTCGCTCTCCTGGCTTTCATCCTCACTGGACATCAGACCAGAGGCTCCGAAGGGAGGGAGGATGCGAGATGACCGGCCCTTTGGCAACCTGACCATCGACTTAGCTGAGCCTTTCAAAGCAAGCCAGGGGCTGGCTGCACGACCAAGGAGGCGCCGCGCCTCTCCTGGATGTGTGTGTGTGATCGAGTGAGTGTGTGTGCGTGTGAGTGAGTGAGGGGTGTGTGTGTAGATGCCTGTGTGCACATCACAACTGTGTGTAAGCGTGTCTGGATGAGTGTACGCATGCACACGTGAGTGTTTGTGTGTGTATGTGGGTGTGAGTGCTCTTGGCTGTTATTATTTTTTTTTTTTTGGAAGAAAAATCTTGAAAATCTGGGGCAGGTTACTGTGCTCCTAGGGTGATTCTTCTTTTGCAAGAGGAGCTGCAAGCCACTAAAGCCATTTCTCTGCGAGAAAAGAGAATTTTCCTCCCAGAAGGAGAAGGATTTTCACCCCTGCTCTGCAGCCAAAAGAGAGATTAGCCCCTAAACCTTGTGAAATCGACCAGAGCCGTATGATTACCAGGGCTTGAGAGAGGACTCAGGAAGAAAAGGAGAAATAAATCAAACAGTCTGTCAGTTCCTTTGGCCACGGAAGATGTCATCTCAAACTAAGTTCAAGAAAGACAAAGAGATCATTGCCGAATATGAAGCGCAAATAAAAGGTGAGATGCTGGCTGGAGAGTTTTCCTCCTCCTCCCGTTTCCTTTTTCTCTTGCTCTGACTAACCCCCCCTTTCCTCCCTGCCATCATGAAATGTTGTTATGCATCAATAATCTTATTGTGAGGAGGAACAGTGGCAGCCGCACAAGTCCGGACTGGTTTCAGCTGCAGATAGCACTGGGGCTGGGAGTGTGGATTAGAGAACGGCCAGCAATCTCTGCATTGCAGGTGTGTGAGGAGGATCCTATGCCCGACTTTAGGAGTGTCGCGGATACTCCATCATCTTGGCGATGACATGTCACTCTCAGGCTATTTTGATAGTCACTACCTCCACCCGGTCCCCACCATGGTAAAAGCTCCTTAATATTGGTGTATATTTTTAAGCGATCTGCTCCCCCCCGCCCACCCTTTCTGGTTTTCGTTGGTGGTGGTGGATTGGCCTCCACCTCTTTCTCTGGGCTGGAATTCACAGGCATGTGTGCAGGGAGGCAGCCTCCCTGGGCGGTACTTCTTTGTCGGTGTCTCTTGGCTGGCCTGGGTTGTCATGGATTAACTGTTATGGGGCATATTGATCCAGGCTAATGCAGGCATTTAAGCATAAAGAGGGAGCTTGATGCAGAAAATGTATTATCTCGCAGTGTGCAGCCCAATCTCTCTGTGCACTAGCGTTTAGGGTCATCAGCTTTCATTCACCACCAAGCCCTCAGTGTGCCGTTGGGGCTGGCCGGTGCTGCCTGGCTTCTGTGGTTTCAGGGGAAGCCTGCTGGGAGGGTGAGATGACCTCTGGGTGTTGTTGGTTCCAGCTTTGGTGCCACCAGGCTCAGACTTCTTTCAGAAGCCGCTCCCTAAATCCAGCTAGCCGGTCCAAACAGAAAAGGGCCACAATTGCACAGCTAATTGCTGGCATGCACAGGCCAGACCGGGGCTTCTCCCACCTGCCCACGTTCTGGGCTCAGCTTTGGCAAGGGACATGTCAGAGCTCCACGCACAGTGCTTACCATTTCTCTGAGAATGTGCCCAGAGGGAAGCCTGGGCCGTGCCTCTCGGTGTCCGTTTTCTTTCTGGTCATGGCTCTCTTGCTGCGACATAGGGTGTGCTGTGTTTCCTCACAAAGTAGAGACAGAACACATCTTCAGTGGATGCTGAGGCCTATCCTTGAGGTTACATATGGACGGTTGAGCGGGTTGGTTATTTGGGGCTCAAGTGACCTGAGGTTGCCACACCTGCTCCTAGGTGCTGCTGCAGCTGAAGACCCGGGAAGCCCATGGTCTCCCAGGAGTGGCGGGAGGGCCGGCCAGCATCCCAGCTGCCATCCATGCTTCACATGCTTGGGAACTTTGGGAGGAGACCAGCCACGGCGGGAGGGCTTTTTTTTTTTTTTCCTCCCTGTCTCACCAACGGTCTTTTACTTTTTAGTTCTGGTCAAACTCTGTGTGGTCATCACCTTCGGGTAGACTTGAGGGCAAGAAGAGCAGAAAACCCTCCTTTTTCCCCTGGTCTCTTTCTTTTCATTGGCAGTTCAGTGTAGGCAACTGCGACTTAGGATGTTTTAGCCTTGCTGAAAATCTAGAAACAAGCACTTTATTGGCCAGAAATCTGAATTCACCCCACCGCTCAGTACAAAAGCCTAGTTTCAGTCTTTGAATAGATTCTTTTTTAGGGAGTTTATGTTTTATAAAGTGAATCGGGCTGATTATTATTTTTTAGAAATTGAGTTTCCCATGAAAAATGCCATGATAAAAAGGAGGATGTTGAGTTTGAGACAGTTCAGGTTTTGTAAGCATTGTCAGGGTAGGAAATGTGCTTATTTCATTTTTGAAGGCTTGCTATACAACTGGGCCAGTGAACTTTACTTGAGGACCAATTAAGCATTGATTGTGCTGGCTGATTCTTTTACTTTTTATCTTCCGCCTTTATTTTAACAACTAATTAGCAAATACTGTGAATTTCATCAGGAATGCATCAATTACCATGCATTTCATCAGGAAATTTGCCCACATGATCTTGTCTCTTCCAGATTTTAAATTTCTCTGCCTTCTGGTTAAAGGAGTTTGATTTTATTCTTTTAGAGTTGACACCCACAACATTAGGGCAGGATACTGCTGTCCCTGAAAGCCTCTGAAATATTTTCTTTTAAAATTTTATCTGTTAATTGTCAAAATTTTAATCTGTTAATCGGCATTATAATTACTGATGTGTGTACAGCTTTCTCCCAGATATTGTTACTACTCTGGGTCCACTACAAAAGGGTTAGTAGGGGCTCAGTTTCAGAGATGAGGAAACTGAGGCCCAGTCTGGTGAAATGACTTGCCCAAGGTCATAAGGCCAGTTTTCTCCCAGGCCTAGCGTTCCCTGATACATTGTTTGCTGAAGCTGCCCCTGGAAGGATTGATGTCAGCAGCAGATGGCAGTTTGCTGGGGACTGGCTGCCTCTTGATCATCAAGTTCCATTGTTTCCTCTTAGTTTTCATCCCCTTGCCTTTGTTGCAGGCCTCTGAGGAATGTTTGACCAATCACCAAAAACACTGCCTGCGCCAAATGACCTTTCTTCCTGGGTATCATTTAGCTCGTCTGGTACAATCTACTTAGTTAGATTTTGTACTCTGTGAAGGGAACTTTTGATTTTTCAAAATGGTGCTGAGTTCTTAATTGACTTACTCTCTTTTTCTCCCTTTCAAGAGTCTACTGACCTAACAAAAGGGAATGTTGGTTGCTTATTTATTTATTTATTTATTATTTGAGACAGAGCCTCACTCTTTTGCCCTGGGTAGAGTGCTGTGACATCATAGCTCACAGCAACCTCAAACTCCTGGGCTCAAGCAATCCTACTTGCCTCAGCCTCATGAGCAGCTGGGACTATAGGCGCCCTCCACATCACCTGGCTACTTTTCTATTATTAGTAGAGATGGGGTTTCACTTTTGCTCAGGCTGGTCTCCAGCTCCTGAGGTCAGGCAATCCTCTTGCCTTGTCTTCCCAGAGTGTTAGGATTACAGGCATGAGCTAGTACGCCCAGCCAAAAGGTTGTAGAATAGCATTTTTTCTATTATAAAAATTTTTAGGCTCATGCCTTCTCTCACCTCATTAGGTACTTGAATTCCTTTGATTATATAACTGCACAGCAGTTGTAAACCATATGCTTGCACATTTCTATTGATGGGGGACCTCATTACCTCCCAAGCTCATATATTATATCTTTGGACAGTTCTGGCTCTTCTGTTTTTTCTTGTCATGTTAAATATGTCACTCATTCATCTATTGATGTTACAGTTCCTTCCCCTTGGGACTTCATAGGACGAGACACATACCTTTTCCCTATGACTGCCCATGACATTGGGTGTTTGGAGCCTCTGATTGTAGTGTGCACTTGCTTATATCAGATGGTTCGCTGCCACTTACTATCTTCCTTATCCTTTGGATCTACTGGATCTGGCATTGCAGGCTCCAGTGTCTTTGGGTGCTTGGCAGGTAGAATAAACGAGTGCAGTTGGCCAAGTGAGATATTTGTGGCAGCCAGTCTACCACCTCACTGCGGGCAACAGAAGAAGGATGGTGGTGACTGTGGTGGACCTGAGATCACATGTCCTGGCCAAATAGCCATCCACTACTTGGGTTCAACCAATTGTTTCCATTTCAGTCACCAATGTAGGCCTAGCCAGATCTTCAAATTTTTCAAAAGATGCCAGAAATTTGGATAAGAGTGTTATGTTTTATATAGAGAGAGACAAAGTCTCACTCTTGCTCAGGCTGGTCTCCAACTCCTGAGCTCAAGGATTCCTCCTGCATCAGGGGCTCCCAGAGTACTAGATTATAAGCATGAGCCACTGTGCCCAAGAGTTTTGTGTTTTTAAAGAGGCTTTGCTGAAAGGACCTTATAAGATCATGCGATCAATACCTTACTTCAAGAGTGGTGCTAAGTTCTAAATGTGATTCTCTAGATGTGGTCAAGGAAGGAAAATAATTATCACCTCCTTCATTCTGTCTCTAATACTTCCATTAATAGTGCCTAAAGGTTGAATTGTCTTTTTTGCTGCTTCTCCTTTCATTGTACCATGTGTATTATGTCTGCTACGTTTTGTCAATCCACTGGGCTGGGAACCTTCTTAGAGAGAAGAAAATGAAATGAAATTTAACACAACTTGTTCTTTGTCATTGCTTCCTGTCCTAGGTGCTCCTAAGTGTTCCTTTATAAATCTGTTGAAGAAGCTTGCCTGAGAGTGACATCATGTTATCTAGTCTGGAACTGGCAAGCTATAACTTCCTTCCCCTTTTGAAAATCAGAACATTTGCCAGTCTCCAGCTTTTTGGCACCTGTTCTCCACAGTTCCCTCAAAGATTGCTGATAGTGTTTGGTGATCTTATTTGCAAGCATATCCAGGGCTCTAATTCATCTTGGTGGCAGATATAATGGTCTGTTTTGCATTTATTTAGAGTTCCTATTTCCATTTCAACCTATTAGAAAATTGAAATAGAACTTCAACGATTGACCTTAGCATTTTATTTTTATTACATATGCATTTTAGGCCATCTTAATTGAAAAGTCTTGAATTTTGAGGAATAATAGCAGATATTCAGAATAATCACAGAGGCACACGTATTTACTCATTCATGTATGCATTCATTGAACAAACATTGATCATCTATGTTGTACTTGGTCTTGTGCTGAGTGTTGTGACAGGTGTAAAGTACATGATATGTTCTTTGCTTTCTGTAAGTTTTCTTGGAATATGATGATAAAATAAGAGAAGGAAATAAAAAATTCAAAGCACAAAATAACTCCCAGCCAAGCACCAGAGTGAGCTTAGTCTTAAATAGAGCATAGCCTACAGTGATTGGAGGACTTCCTCAGGAACGCTCGCTGATTTCAATGAGATTAAATGGGGAAAGCAAGCTGGGTTGGGTAACAAGGGGGAGTAGTGGGGACTTGGCCAAGCAGGGAGTTGGTCCAGAGAGGGCAGCTGAGCTCCAGCCTGTCATTGCCAGTCAGGACAATGAGCCCAGAGT